AATTTCATGGCTGGCAGCTTAAAAATAACCTTTTCGACAGCCTCTATTTCTACTTCCTGCTTGTCCTCTGTCGAGTTATCCTTTTGTGATAAGTCAACGTGCAGTGTGTCGCACTGAGCCTCTATATCCTGAATTTTCTTTTTACTGTTTTCTAATGCTTCATTTTCAGTTACCCAACCTGTGGGAGGAGACATTATTCTTGGAGGTGATCCATACTTTTCAGAACGAGATACTCTCTTCTTCCTTTTGGGCGTCCCGTACAGCACGTAAAAATCGAAAGAACACTCAGATAGTTCTCCCAATAAGTCTACTTCACGAACTCCCTCTCGATGTAGTTGCTTCAATAGAGCATTGTACGATACTCCTCTTCTTCTTCTTTCTGCTTCCAGATCGATTTTCTCTTCAATGTCTGTCATACCATCATCTTCCTCACCATTGTAGGCCTCTCTAGAAGTCTGGCCTTCTTCATATTCCAGTAAGCATGCTTCTCCTTCGTTATCCTCTCTCTCAAACTTCTCCATCCCTTCTGTCTCGCTCAAACTTTGATCTTCCAGAAGAAGTTTCTGGCAACTCTTTCATTGATTCATCAGTACCAATTTCCTCACTGTCTTTGAGAACATTTTGATTGGCTATCTCGAGTAGTTTAGGCGCCTTAGGATGTGGCACTCCCTGTTGTTGCCTCATCATTCGTCCATAATTTCATTGGAAACGCTTTTGTTGGGTTCTAGTTATCTCGTTAAAGGGTATCGCCTTTCCTGCATTATATTGGAACGAATGCCATACATTTGGTTGGTGAGGTTGCAGCCTGAATGTTCTCCCATTATTTACTGGCCTGAACTGCCTCTCAAAAGGCGGTCCCTTATAGAACGATGTACCTTGCCCTCTACCAGACTGAGCGTTTGGGAAGAAAGTAGGGCGATGGGGATGCTGCCATATCCCTGGTTTCTCCGTGTTCCCACTCACTTCTCTTTTATATTTTGCACACAAGATATCTTCATCCTTTTTTGGCTTCTTCCTTTTAATACGCTCAAAGACACTGGGATGTGGTCCAAGGTCTTCTTCTCCATCATCTATAACCAATTTGAATTTTGGCAACTTATTTTTGAAACCAGACGTCACCATATTCACTCTAAGTGGCTATGGAAAAGGATTTTCATCCACTGCCATTTTCTTCTTATCATCGAACGTAATTCGTCCTGATTCAATGGCATCCTGTAACACATGGTGAAAAACTAAGCAATTGTTAGTCAAATGTGACCATGCATTATGCCACTTACAATATTTTTTACCCTTAATTTGTTCAGGGATTGGCAATTTATGCTTATCGCTCAGCTTTATCTGCTTATCCTTATATAATTTATCAAATATAAGGTCAGCTTTGGTTACATCGAACGAGAACGTTCTAACTTTTATGTTTTCATCTTTCATAGGCTTATCCTTGCCCGATGGTCTAGGCTTAGCCATTATAAGACAAGTATACGTGTCTCCTTTGACTAATTCTTCGGTCTGATCGTATGACTCGTTATTGATGGTATGAACATCAAAATTTGGGTCTCTATAATAAGTCCCCTTGCTAGAATTTTTTATCTGCTCTTCTTCTCTTATCAATCGTTCATACCTAATCATGTTCGCGCTCAATTGGAAAAAGTCAGGAAATTCCTTGTCTTGGAATTTCTTTTTCAAATCAAAGATCAAACAACCTTGAGTGATTTTGACGAACTCTTTTTCGGACAAAGGTACTAAATATTTACTTCTTGCTGTCTTGAACCTTTGGAGGAAACCTTCTGCCCATTCCTTTGGCATTTGACGTAGATTCGCCAAATCGGTCAAAGTAACTTCAAACTCAGTCTTATAAAACTGAGCGTGGAATAATTGTTCCAATTGTTACCATGTTTGAACAGAGTTCGCTGGCAAATTGATGAATCAGGAGAAAGCTACTCCTATTAATGAATTAGGGAAAAGCCTCATCTTATGTTAATCAGTTACGTCACCACTTTGCAGTGTGAATCGTCCTATGTGTTCTACAGTAGACACCTCCCCTAAACCGTTAAACAGTGAGAATTCTGGTACTTTATATCCTCTAGGCCATGGATATGCTTGGTCTACCCAATCAGGATATGATTTTGTGTAAGTCGGCCTAATGACAGGACGTACCCCAAAAGCCATCTAATCCTGTACGATTTCCATAATTTGATTCTTTAACATGACGTTGGGGTCATATGGAATTCCTACAGGTTGGTTAACCGGTTGATTTGTTTGAGGCATGATGTTTGGTCCTTGATTGGCAACAAAGTTACCATGATTTGAGCCATTGTTACCATTAACCTGAACATTTATTCCCTCATTAACACGTGGGGGTATTCTGCCCATTATTTAGGACATTATCTCTTATATTTGGATTACCCCCAAGTTAGGCGTACTACTACCATTATTTTGATTTGACATTACATCATCCCTCTGGTTTGAAGTAGAGGGAACGAAAGGTTGTTCTACCCCTTGATTTGGATTTAGGACTGGGGGATTATGTCCCACAATTGTCCTAGTTTGAAAGTGGTTTGCAAGAGGCATAACTGGTTGATAAATTTGACATACTAATTTATTCATTATTTCGTTCAAAGTATTCAGTTGTTTGGCCATGTTGTCATAATGTGCATTCCCATTTTGGGTAAATCTTTCCATATTATGAATATTTCGAAGATTTACCTGTTCAACGACATCTTGTGTGAGTTCTCCAAGTAGTGCACGCATAGTTTGAGGACTCAACTCTGTCATTGATTCGTAACGACTATTACTGATCTGATTCTGTCCATCTGTTCGTGGAGAGCTATGCTGCTCTTCATATCGCTCGATCACAGACTGGACTCCTCACTGACTTGCTGCTTCCTTATCGAATCTCTGAGGCATATTGTTTCACCTTTTGTATCTTCAACACCAAACACCACTGTCCCATTGGGCGTGCCAAATTGTTTCCCGCGGGTTAGTCGCTAACAATTAAAAAGATATCAGAAGATTGTGTAAGGGACAAACCTCTTGAGACAAAGTCCCAAAAAGGGGTGTTTTTATTGGCGATGACTTTACAATTGGAAAAATAAAACAGAATGCCTTCAAGGGGCGCAAACACACGAGTTACTGAAAAGAAGTGTTTAAATCTAAACTAAAAAATTGAAAGTTACATATTCTCTGTTTGAGAGTGTTTGATTTCGGGTCTTTTACTCTATGTCTTTTCTTCCTTTTATACTCCCTGAATGATCTTTTCGTGATCAACCGCTTAAAAACTGCTTAATCGCTCTATAACTGTCCACTTTCTTCATAGTGGCCAACTTGTCATGGAACTGCCTTCTCTAACTGCTGCCATTACTTTTTGTTGTTCAACCGTCTTCAATTGAATTCCTTGAATCGTGGAACATGATAAGACTACTCAATAACTATTTCATTAACCGCACTTTTTGGTGACCATAATATCTTATGTTTGCTAAGATCCTGGGCGACTCGAAGGTTTGGGCGAGAACAGGATCACAGCTTTGGGCGACTGCATGGCAATCCATTCACTCAAATCTTGGGCGACTTGCAAGTTTGGACGATGGTATTACCGCGCTCATGGGCTTCCCTATTTGGGCCTTTATCCTGAATTGCCTGATTGGGCCTTTTTGGGCTATCTGATTTGGGGATCCCCCAATTGGACTTCATTCCTTAGGTTATTCGATTTGGGTTGAACTTTTTTTGTGTCAACAATTACATTGCAGAAAATAAGTTGCAAGGGCCTGTGCTTGAGTTTAGCAAGGGGATTCATGTAACACTTGGAAATACTGAGACGGAGATGTTGAGTTCGAATCAACTGAAAACCTTGAAGGGTAAAATGACAGATGTTCTCAGTATGTATGATATAAACTTTGGAGAGCAAAAATTTTAAAGCGCTATTTCAGTAGCATTATGAACCTAACTTCTCCGAGGAATTTCCTTTAGAACGATAATAATCTCAAGGGCTGGATCCCTACTGTGTTTTTTACTAGTTCGCCTCAGCTTCGAAATCTTAGCGTGTCTTATAAAATCTGTGATCTGTCTGGTCCTATACCGGTTTTTCCAGCAAGGGTGAAATTTAGCTTACTATGAAAAATTGTTTCTTGGTAAGAATGTGAGTGATAATGGAAGCTCCTCAGACTAAAATGGGCTATACAGTTCCTGGCTTTTATGAACTGTTGAAAATGGGCTATTAATTCATAGATATCAAGATATTATGAACAGTTTGAACAAGCCCTCCAAGATGAAACAGAAATCGTCTTCATAGCAAATCAAAAATGATGTTCTACAAGGTAAGCAAGCCATTACTGACCGACTTCGAACCTAATGCAGTAATCCCTTGAGCTCGGATGCAGGATGCTAACAGGGCGCCTCAAAGTGGTTGACCTTTCTTTCGCCTGTATGTCTTGTCAAATATGCCCATCATCTCTGTTTCTCTCTTTATTTATTTATTCCATTTTAACGATGCGTGTATGTATCTCACTGTAAATTATGAAGAGTTGATTAACGTGTAAATTGTGCTAAAGATGTTCTAAATACTGGAGTTGAAATGTTTTAAAAAAATAAAAATAAAAAATGTCATTATGTCTATACAACCTAAACGCTTGTTAATTCCTTTAAAGAAAGAATTGCATGATTTTTTTATTTGAAAGTTTGATATTTTTAAACAACAGATTTTCCTGTTAAGTTCTAAGATTTTCATCTGGCTATTCAGCAGCAATTTGAATTTCTTCCACTGAAAGTTCACATTATTAGAAATAATAATCAGATGAAGTTTATAGATGTTTATTTCGACCAGTCTTACCTATTCCGCTTTTGCTTCAAAGGATTTCAGTGTCAACAGTCGACCACTTCAGTCATTGTCTGTGAGCTCGGGGTGAGGGAGGATCCCCGTGTGGCACGAAAAATGAGAAATGGATGCGAAACCTAATTGTTAATCTTTACTGAAGATAAAGGCAAATTCATGATCCCGCTGCTCTGGATAACAAAGTCAAGCACAGATACTCGAGATAATGCAAGAAAACAATGTTATGTTGAATAAGAACTCTTATCTTTAACCAAACATATGAAACTTCACGGCTCACGCTGTCATATATACAGAGAAAGCGAGCGAGCTCTATTGTATCATCCATACACAACCATTCTAACCTTCAAATAATACTTATATATTCTCTTTGCTTTATCTACAATCTCGTTTTCCACTTACCGTTCTACTTCTACCTGTCGTAAGGAAATTCTGAGTCACTCTCAGTCACTTTGAAGGGCTGGGGATGTTGACCGGAGCAGTAGAGATTCCACATCTTGAAATAAGAACGCTCCAAATTCCTCACCTGGAAACAAGAAAAGGAAAAAAGAAGATAACACAATCTGTGCATCCATAGCAGATTCGTAAGAAAATGAATATGTAACATCACTCACCCAGCGTGCTGTATCAAATAGAGGGCAAGTTAAACGTGCGGCCTTGAGCCTGTTAGTAAGATCTTGGAGTTTCGTGCGATTCAGTGCCAGTGATACTGCCTTCTCTTCATAATCTTTCATACTGTCAGAATAAAAGTTGATGTAGCTAAGCAATAGGAAATAGAAAAGCAAGTTGCTAACCAAATAGAAGGAACATAGAAAATAACAGTATTGAATGAAACAAGGATGAAATTATTATGTGAAGGAAACATGACTGGAAGACGATGAAAAGAAAATATACAGGACTGATACTGACACAGTAACTGAAAACATTTTTTTTTTTTTTTTTTACCAATCAATTAAGAAGAGAAACATTCAGCTCTAATCTTATTTGAAAAGGGAACTACTTCACCAACCGATTATACAAGTCGTTGGTTGTTCCAAAATAACATTTCCTTTCATAACTGAATCTTTTACCTTCACAATAACATAGTATTCCATTTCAGACTATTTCATTAGCTTTTAGATAACTAAAAAGAATCAAATGAAATTACACTCTTCTAGCTATTTCACCCACCGAAAGGTATATCAGAATATGCTGCTTCATAGTTGCAATTTGATAGGACTATATATTTTTTCCTCTAATATGCATATATACCACTGGAAAAATATTCATAGACACGGTCCAAGATCGACCAACATAATATAACCAGAAGCTATGCCTATTACCAAAAACGACCTCAACCAAAAGGCTAGCATCAAAAGCTATAAAAGACTCTCATTAGGCTTTGAAGCTATACATGACCTCAAAGTACCAGCTGATACAACAGGTTATCCATCAGAATCAAAACTGTAGGCCTATCCAATGTCATTTTATTCCATGACGAGTCCTATGAGCAACTAAATCAAAGCATATGAATGCAAAAATGACAAAAAACACCTTGAAAACTACTTTCAATACATGTTCCCTTCTGGTTGTAGATTTGGTCAGTTTTGCATCAGCATAACATCTAATATTTAGCGCATTTGCATTAGGATGCTGACCATATAAGTTTTTGAGCATCTCTATGTCAAATTTTTTTTGTTTCCGATTATTGAGTTCAATAAAGCATGGAGTATGATAAATTGCATCATCTGATAACTCAAAATACCTACCTACTGGCAATCATCTCTTCCCCAACTCCTGTAGCCAAACACAGTGAACCAGCGACTCTGGTTGCCATTTTCTCAAGGGGAAGGGTAATCATTGGCAGACCTGCCCATAAAATATCCGTTCCAGTGGTATGTGCATTGCACAGTGGCCTGTTTAATAAAGAAATTACATAAAAATATTGATCAAACCGTAAATTTTTTAAAGGTTCTAATGGAAACTGAAGTTCAGGGTATACATACGTGTCAAGAAAGAGGTCTGCTAATGCACTACGTCGGATGTGTTCCTGTTTCATTGCTACATCAGTGAAAATTATTTGGTTCAGTTGCACACCCTGTGCAGCAGCATCTGTACAATTAAAGAAAAGCTTAATCAACCAAGTATATTCTATCCGAAAACTAGATGGGTAATCCCTTACTAATTAAGGGGGAAAAAATCCTTCTATAAATGTGCCATGCCAAATTAAACAGCATACATGCACGAAGCCTCATCTCCCCTGCAGCTGGAAATCTAAGAAGCCAAAGTGCACTATTTGGCACACGTTTAAGAATGTTGCACCTGCTCAAGTAAAAGCACACTCAGCATCAGCATGGAGTTTTCAATTACCATATCATCCATGTCAAAACCGAGCCCAAATTTACCAGGTAATAAATATCTCAGGGTCCATCTTGTAAAGCTGATTGAAACAAGCAAATATAAATTTGTCCTCTGGCAGTCCATAATCTGATCGCTTATGTTGGCAATTTGGGTCTAGTACATCTTGATTTTTCTAAACAGCATATAACAGAATGAACTCATCAGTATGAGTTGAAATTTGAGACTTGGAAACTTAAAAGGTTTATGTGCTTCAGATATACCTGTTTATAATCATTTACAAAATAGCAATGTGGAAGATGAACAAGCTTCTCAGAATATATATTGGAGTACTGCATAGGCGAAACAAACTGCCAAAAAAAAGTATAAATGATCCAAGTTGACAATGAAGGTACATGAAGCAAAAATCTTGAAGAAAAAAGTATATTACCTCATCAGTGACCAAATAATGTATGTAGGTTGCCCCTGTGGTTCCAGGAAATCCCATATATGAAACCTGAATTGGAGCAGGCTGCATTGCAAATATTTCATTTCTTGCCCCCTTGAAAAAACAATGAGTAAAACCAAAGATTAGAACTACCATACATTTGACGAATAATTGGATGAATATCCTAACGAATTAAAATCCATAAGCAGCAAGCACTACAGAAACTAATTACAATGTCATTAAGGTCTCCCAGATGTCACAGAACCTTTTTCTATCACCACGCCAAATTATGTGAAAACACAGGTATGACAATCAAACAATGCCCCAAAAACATTATAAAAACATGGTACCTTAGTGTAACCATTTAAGTTAATGAGAATTTGTATTTGATCCTCATTAATCAACCTTGCAATCATATCAGAAGACATAGATGACACGTCTAAAAAGTGCTCAGCTTCTGACTGGATTCGGAGCCTCCATTCAGTACCATCATTTGGACTTAAAGCATAGCAGAACACCTACAAAAAAAGCATCTAATTTACACCAAATAAACAAGAAGGTAAAGATTTTAATCAATAACATGTGCAGATGTATAACAGTCAAAATTCTCAAACCTCAACATTTCCTTTGTCATGCATGCCAAATATTGAGCCCATGAGGTGTGACAGGGGGTGGTTACCAAAGTCACTGCTCACATATCTAAGAGAAACATAACACTGGTTAAAAACATATTTTCTATTTTTGTTTGTTCTCAACTGGAAAAGGAAAAAGGTTAAAAAGTATTCATTACCCAACCCTCAACCGGTCATTCCTGCCCCCACCCTTTATTGGTAATGGAGGGGGATGCTTAAAAGGAGGAAGTGAAAAACGGGCTGCTATTACTGAACAGTGTGCAGCATACTTGCGACTGCACATACAAGACATTTGGCAAGTTATTCAAGAATACTATTAAATACTACTCATATATATTAAAAGTCACCTTTCTCACCTAATTTCAAGAGCAAGCATGGGGTCAAGAGGATAAGCTATTGCATGGAAAGGCTGCACACTTGGGATAACTGACATCTAAAATGAAATAAAAGATGACACAAGCTTTATTGATAAAGATAAATCAGATCCTATACTTTGAATAAGGTTGATGAATATATGGGTATATGGTCATCAAAAATGTGTAATATTAGGAAACCTTAATCTGTCTCCGAAGTATCCCTTCAACGTCAATAAACATCTTCTCCCGATCATCCCAGTTGCAAACACACTGAAAAAAATTGAAACTAGAAAATGTCACTGAAAGAAACTTCCACCAAAATATAAACCACCACAAAACCTACAAAACACAGCATCCCTAATAATAACTGCTCGAGAAACATGAAAATGAACTGACGGCTGTATAAATGACAATTAGGTCAAGATAGTTTTCAAGCTCACAATGAGTCAAACTGAACAACCATGATTTGTGAGAGGCCCCTGAAATATATGCAAGTATAGGTAAACTAGCATGTCCTAAACTGCTGGATGCATAAAAAGATGACCATAATGCAAAACAGGTTCACTTTCCTCAAAATCTCTGTCGTCTAAATTTGCATTTGTAGCACTAAAACATATCAATATGGAATATCATCTATCTAATGAGAAAATTGCTATCATAAGAATGAAACTTAAACAAATCCCTCATGTTACACCAAACGAGCTTCCCCCGAAGAAAATTTTAACATTTTCTCTCAAACTTGTGGCATTTTAAAGACTTCAACTACAAGTGGACCTTGTCAGATTTCATATAAATATCTTGATGAGGGAGCCATTGTATCCTGTCAGTTTTTCGAAATTTTTCATTAACATGCAACTCTTTTTACAAGTTTCTCCACAATGTTGATCTCCGTGATGCGGGCGTAAGCCTCAAGGCAATTTGAGGTGTAAATCTCAAGATTGAACAAAAAAAATTCAAAAGAATATTAAAATACAAAAATATGCATATACCAAGAACCCTATCAAAAATCGATAATAATGCTAATTAACAAAATAAAGTCTAACTTGCAAACACACGTAAAATAGAGCAAGAATATAGAAAATATAAGTTTTCACACTAGTAATGATGTAACCTATTATGACTACTTAGATATTCCTTATATCATCACTACTAATATGTTCTTTAAGAGAATCATTATCATCATCCTCATCCTCATTATAAGTTTCTTTTCATTCTTTGTCATCATCCTCCAATTACAACCACTACCTCCGTCCCATAAAAATAGGCTTGTTTTTATTTCACACATTATGAAAATATAATTAATATAGTTGAGAAAATATATTTTTCTGACGTTTTTCTTAATATACTCCTACATTAATTAATGATTTAAATAGAAAATTTATATTTGTTAATAACAAGGTTTAAAAGGGGCATATCAGAAAACCAAAAAATATCTCTACTTATTGAAATAAAGTGGCCTATAATTTGGAACACAAAAAAGGAAATCAAGCCTATCTTTAGGGGGACGGAGGAAGTACTAATTATCCTTGCCATCTTTCCTTGTTTGTAGGTAGAAAAAACAAAATAAAAGAATTAGTAAAATATTTTAAGTTATAAAGAATAACTCGACAAGTTAACGCCAGTAATTAAATGTTTGAAAAATACTAGGCAAATGGGTGAACACCTTAGTTGGCTAAGTCATAAAGAATAACTCAAAAAGTTTATGCCAGTAATTAAATGTTTGACAAATACATGGCAAATGTGTGAACACCTTAGTTGGCTTGAGGCAAAGCATTGCTAAAGTCAAGGAATAAATCTCACAAATGGCCTTAAAGGTGCGGGTGTTAAAGGCATTTTATGATAGCCTCAAAATTCGAGGCATAAGCCTCAAATAGTGTTTAAAAACCATGGCATGTAGTTCATAGAATTTCAAGTTTAAGTTATGGGTAAATCTTCTTTCATTATATAGCTTCGGTGGCACTTCAAGTTTAAGATATGGGTAAATCTCTTTTATTAGAAAGCTTGGGTGGGACAGTCATCATTTGAGCTAGCCACTGATATTTTCGGCAGTGTCAAATGGTTTCTTCAATGGACCTTTCAGTCGCACATTTTATGGGAGAATGGGCTGGAAAAGGACGTGTAGGCTGCAGAGCCGGATATTTTTTGCAACTTTTTTTCTGTTACTTGTTTAAAAACCAAAATAAATAAAATAAAATAAAAAAGCAAAAAGCAAACTGTGGGCCTGGGAGAAGCAACTACTTCCTGTTCTGAACAGGACCACATTTACAGTCCTAGTTTCAGGTCCTAATTGGTAGTTGGAAGTTATTCATAGCCCTCTTGGTGTGAAGAATAAAATTAATGTCATTCGATTAGAATGCCAGAAGAGGCCAAATTCTAGGGTAATTACAAGCATGAGAATCTTCAGGGAGAATTTGGTTTCTTGTAAGTTCAACAGGTTCTTGGTCTCCAAAGATGGGAGGAGTTTTTTTAAGAGCTCAGCATTGATATGGGTTCAAGAGTAATTTCTGATTATCCTAGTGATATGGGGCCCAATTCCTATCTGTTTGACTGGTTCGAAAACAAGTGACCGCGACATCTGAACTACAGAGAAAATTTCATAAATTTGAAAAATAATAACAAAACTTTGGCATTTGCAGCTCGGGAAAGGCAATATGGCATCGAGGTTGAAGGTTCTATAAGAATGAGAGCAACAATTTCTGATGACCTTTCTGAACCACACGAGTGTAAATAAAATAAGAACAGCATACATTTCCAGATAACCTTTCTGAACCACGAGTGTAATAAAATAAGAACAGCATACATTTCCAGATATTCTGAAAGACAGCGCGCAATTATTTAAAATTCTCTGATCTACAACATTTCTTGTATACTTCTAAACCATGTGAGTGTACCTCATATTTCAAGAAAAATGGAGACAAATAACTGTAAATCGTAGATGTACCTGTAAAGTGTGAAGAAGGTTACAGGTTGCTTCTGGAAAGTCAGGACGCAGCATCAATGCATGATTGTAGCTTTTAATGGCTGCCTCCACAAGACCACTACAGGTAGCCAATTGAAGTAATTGAAGCACACTCAAATTGCGCATGCAGCATACGAATCCACCAAAAATAGGTTCCAAAACTTCTAAAAGAACGCATGATAACATACCTGTCCTTATAAGCTGAAGCCAAATTTGCATGTGCCTCGGCCATGGTTGGCCGGACGGCAATAGCATGTACATAGTCTTGAATTGCCTCATTAACTCTTCCAATTTCCTTGTAAGTGTTACCTCGATTAACAAGACCATCTGCTGCCATTGGATCAATTCTGAGGACCTCATTGTAGCAAGATATAGCATCCCCATAATTACCCTGTCATTCACATGAACACAAAAATGTTTGCAGCTTCCAGATTAAAATCTTCTGAATTAAGAGCATCACAGAAGAACTTCCTTTATACAAGTTATTTCTAACTTAGTCTGCACCACAATTCATAATTTGAGGGTCACATCATACCTGTTGTTTATATATTATAGCTAAGTTGCTAAAAGGAGCAGAGAGCCCTGTCGTGACGGATAAAGTTGCCTTGTAGCATTGAGCAGCAGCATTCATCATGTTCCTTTACAAAAATAAACAGAATACTTGAAGACCAACATCGATACAAATGCAAATGAAGATAACACCCGGATAGAAACATAAAATTGACATTAATCATCATGTGTCCTCAACATACCACTCCATATAAATATTTCCAAGATTGGTGAGTGCTTGAGGATGACTAGGTTGAAGAGACAAGCATTGCTTCATAAACCAACAAAATAAGGATCAGACAAAGAAGGCAAAAGTTAAGTAGAAAAACCAAGCACTCGATCACAATGAAGAGAAATTACGCGATAGCAGTTGATTGCTTCCTCAACTCTTCCAGAATCTTTCAATGCATTACCCTACCCGACCATCATAGCCCAAAAAAATAATAATAATCTCAGATTTTGTGAATAAGAGCACAGATCAGACTAATGTATTATCCAAGAATAAATTATTGGACAAAGTAATATCAAACATATTTTAGAAGGAGATGAAAGAGCAACCAGGTTATTGTATGCCTCCAAAAATCCAGCATCACAAGCAATAGCTCGCTTGTAGTGGACTATTGCCATATCAAGGTTGCTTTGCTCATAGTATATACTAGCCAAGTTGCCTGCAAAAGATGTTCCACATTATCATCACAAACACAGTAAAAAGTTCAGTGACATGCAGTACTTTCAAGTTGACAATTGGAAGTCCTTGGGAATGTCGAGTAACACAATTGTAATAGTATGCAGGGTGGAACAGATCAGGAGCTCTAGATTCCTACAAGGGGATAATAGCTAGGGAGCAACATTCTAATCTAATTAAAACTCCTATTCTAATTAATAAAGAAACTATAGTTCTAATAAAATCTAATTCCTATTACAAGAAAACTAGATTGAAAATAAACTTCTAAAAAAGATAAAACATATTAGTAGTGGGAAATCAACTATAGTTGTGATGTACTACATCAGAAATACATTAGAATTCTGGCTTTTAAACATGAGAAAATTGACTAGAATAACTAGACATTTAGGTGAAATTATTCCATAGGCCTTTCCTACAATGATTTAGTCGTATAAATTGCATTCTTTGAATTCGTCAACAAAATATCTTTTAGATTAGATAATACTATTGAACTGTAAACATTCATTCATCTAGATAAAGCAGAAGATACATAATTATAGTATTTACTACTTAGTAGAAATTGAATTACAATCCCTGTTGGTTTGATACTCTTAACTTTATTACTATATTATAAAACTTGACATTGTACACTTGCAGTATAAATCATGTTGTAGAAAACGCGTGGCATTAGTGCATGAAAAAATTAAATAAGCCAATGTAGTATAAAAGCTCTACAAAAATACTCACCAAAAGCCATAGCATAGTCAGGTCGTGATTGCAGAGCACGTTGATAACAAACAATAGCATCTTGAGGCATTCCCAAAGCCTGGAAAATGCAAAGAAAATCTTGTTTTTCTACACACTCTTTCGCCGGCATTTGCGGCTTCTCAACCTTATTAGCTCAAAACGTGTGATCTTACCTTGTAAACATTTCCCAAATTCAGATAGGCATCTGAGAAGTTAGGTTCCAACTTGACTGCTTCCTGAAAATAGAACGAAGTGCACATAACTAAGCATGCACGAGCACCCCAGCTCAACCATGTTCGAGTAAGATAAACAAAAACAAATCAAATTATCAGCAGCAAAGCCAATGTGAACTTAAATGAATCATGATCAAGAATATGGGTTCACACCTTGTAGTACTGCAGAGCCTTGTTAAGATCACCTGCATCCATGAAAAGGCCAGCAAGATTGGACCATGCAACAGCAAAAGTAGGTTGTATGCGGAGAGCCTCGATATAGCAATTGTACGCCTAGCCAAATAATATGCTCAAAACAATTTAAAAGCATATATGACTAAGAAATTCGCAATGAGGATTTGAACTTGGTTAGCGCACAGGCAGCAAGCTAATGAAGCAATTTTATAAAATATGGAAGATCTTTCAGAACAAATTGCCTATAAACAAGTCCTAATTACCAGTTAAAAAAAGGATAACCCAATCAGGATAATTATCTTAGCGTCAATAATTAGCAGGCCTTCATGACTATTAGACAATTTTACTCAATTTCCATGCTCAACATTAATTCTGGCATATTATGCGTAAGCGAGGGAGGATCGTCAAAAAGTTGAACCATTTTAACACTATACACTGCACCAAGAAAAATTAAAACAGAAGGTTAAACAAACGCGAAGTGGAGTTCACTGGCAACTTACATCTTGCATTAATCCTTGAACTTTCATCAGATTTCCAAGGTTACTATGAGCATCAACCTAGATCAGAGGTCAAAGTTAAAGAAAAGAAGATAGAAAAGCAACATATACTGGTAAAATAGATAAATAATGAAAAAGTAGAACTTACCAAAGAAGGATTCAACTCAAGAGCCTGACGGCAACATTGAGCTGCCTCATTAAGCCTTCCTTTCCGCATGTAAGCACTAGCTAAGTTTGACCATGCATCAGAAAAATTAGGGCGAAGCTGCATTGCATATATTGAAATTCAGTTATTTGTCCAAAACCACATAAGACAGAGCTCCACTCTTCCACCCCCACCCCCTTCTCTTTTTTGTATTTCATTTCTTTTCTTTGATAGGAAAACAAAACGGATTGCTAAGATGACAAATGTGCTAAACATTGGCACTCCTATACAATAAGATATTAAATCAAATGACCACTAAATCCACTGAATTGCATCGTAAAATTACTTGTCAGAGCATTAATCCCTCTTCAGAAAAAAAATGCAGGACCAAAATATCTTTAAGCAAGTCAGATTTGCAACAACTTTAATGGTGTAGCGATCAAATTTTGCTAAATCTTTCTCATTTATACTGGATAGGAAAGTAGGCATAAACAATCTTATATTTGAAACAGTAGCTCATCCTCGTGAAACTGAAGATTAAGAAAACTAGGATTACAAGATCTATAATAACAAACAGACCTCAATAGCAATCAAGTAATAGCGAATTGCAACATCACTATTGCCTTTCTCCTGTTGCAAAGAAAAAGAGAGACCTTATATCACACATTAAAATTAAGCCCCTGTTTGAAACCATAAAAAGAGACTTGGGGGAAAATGAGTTTTGGACTAGTGAGTTTTTGGAAAATGTGTGATTGAAAAGTATGAATAATTTTTAGATTTTTAGATTTACGTGCAAAATATTTTATTGAGAGAATGTTGTGGTTGAAAATGAGTTTGACAAAAAAGGGTTGTTTTAATGGTTGCCAAACAGGGGCTAAATAAGAAGAAATCACCACCAAAATGCATTATAAGAAGATACCTTCCAAGCATTGGCCATATTTCCATAGCACTCCGCAAAATTTGGATTAATTTGGAGAGCTTCTTCGTTCTTTGCGATGCACATATCAAAATCACGTAACTAAAACAAAAACAAAAACAAAAAAGTCAGTCTTATTACTTCACATGATCATAAATCTTTTTCACAGTCTGAAGTAAAAAGATGGCAACAACCAGACATAAAAAATATAAACAGAAAGATATTGTGTGCATGAACAAAAAGAACCTGAAAATAAATTGCACCCAACAAAAGAAGGTTATCAGTGCGACGTGGATCTCTCTCATAAACATTCTTGCTATGTGTTAGTGCATGCTTATAGTTTCCAGATTTGTAGTGCTGATGAGCAAGATTCAAGAGGATGTCCTCGTCAACTGCAGCATGAGAGAGAGAGAAACTTTAGCAATGTAAAACACCATCCAACATCATAAAAATCTTTTTCAACACCATTAAAATCAATCACTGTTAAATTTTCTTCTGAACATAATCGCTCATATTTCAACACCATATCATTTTCATAATCAAAATGCCTGAGCCCAATTCCCCGGTAATAATGCAAAGCCAAGGCATTGCACTAGCGAGTTAATGTTCCTCTCCCTAAAAATTATTTGATTAGCAACAGAACCAGTCTCACAACTACACACAGATTCACGACATAGTAGAAAACCCTAAAAGACTCAAACTGATCAAAAAAGATACGCACAATCTAAAGAGATTCTAACTGAAAAAATAATTTAACACTGAAATAAAAAGCCTTCCATTGAAGAAAAGACCTAAAATTTCCAGGTCAAGTTTCAGAAATCTCATGCTCCTCAATTCAATTACCTGAATTCAAAACTAGGACCAAATACAAATAATTTAGGAATTAAAACATCATTTAATTGTTCAACAGTTCTCGATCACAAATCATCATAAAATCTAAAAAATAAAAAATAAAATTAATACTTTCAGTAAAAAAATGCAACAAAACATCACCAATCCCACTTCAATTCAAAACCATAAATTTCCTAAGACATGAATTAACCACAAAACCAGCATCTTCCATTAAAAATATCCCTTCATACTTGTCAAACTTACCGAAATCAGCACTTCTAAACTGAATAATTAAAAAATAATAATTAATTTCAAAAAAATAATAACCTTCAGAAGAAAGCTCGCGCTTAATATTTCCATCTGCTATGGCCGAGGACGATTCTTTTCGGTGGTGATCACCGGCCACGACATTGTACGGAACCCTAGCAACCTGCTGCATCTGGCGCAGATTCAAATTGTACTGCCGCGGCTCGCTCTGCAACGAGAGCATGCTTTGATTCTTGAATTATCAATTCTTCAATCCAAAGTAGAAAATCCACCGGAGGATCGCAGAAAATAGGAGTAAGTAAAAGGGAAATAACTTCAGAGGATATTCAGGGGTATTGGAATTGGTTTATACTCATTTGTTAGATTCCTCGGCGATAGAATAGTCAAAAAGAACAAAATAAAAATCCGTTTGTTTCTATGTCCACCTGTCGGTTACTAATCAAATTTGTAAATAGTTTATAAAAATAAATTAATCGACATATTTTCAGCCACACAAATCACATACTAACGAATTTTCTAATGCAGCGAATTCTTTTCAAAAATAACTGCAAAAAAATACTGAACGAGTACGGTTATGATTTAGTGTCTGATTGGTTCCTATTCTTTTCTCATTAAAATGAAAAATATGATCGTTATTCATCGTATCAAGTCACAAAATTTGAATTTCTATCTCTTATGTGGGGATCATAACGACTGTATTTTTCATTCTCATTCTTCCAAAAATAAGAAACAAACGAAGACTTAATCATTAATTAACCATATCAATCTTATTTAACACCCATTTAGCCCTCGTTAAATTTCATTTCATTTTTCTCTCTTCTATTTTCAACCACACAATCTTTCATAATATAATATTATACGTAAATCAAAAAAATTTCCTTTTTTTTTCAACCACTCATTTTTCAAAAAATACTATTCCTCCCATTACTTTTTCAAAAAATGGGGACCAAACAGGGGCTTAGTAAGTTTTTAGGAATTGAAGAGAATATTTAGAAGTTAAGAGAACGCATAGGCTAAATAAGATTTTAATTCTTAGCCCGTATTTGATATCGATTAAAATTCAAATTTTAATATGAGTCAAAATCAATAATCAATTTTAATCACATATTTTATGGATCCCACAACTTTTTAACTACACATTCCATCAATTTTTTATTAAAATTTACTAAAAATCTAATTTTAATCCTCACAAAATAGGGACTTAATTTTGAAGCCATTATATCAGCAGGAGCAACCTCCTTTTATAGGGGAATCATCTTATAGTTAAAATAAATATTTTATCGGTATTGAATTTATAACCAATCAGGTTTAATTTATCATTTTATGCTTGTTTATTAAACTTCTTATAAGCAAGTTCCAATAAGCGATCATAATGGGCGACCATGTATCCTTGCTGATCGGAGATTCTCGAGAGGTGGGACGAGATGAGGATTAAGGTCCCGTTTGTTTCTCATTTTTGGAAGAATGAGAATGAAAAATATAATCGTTACGGACCTCACAAAAGAGATAAAAATTCAAATTTGATAGTTTGATGTGATGAATAACGGTCATATTTTTCATTTTAATGATAAAAGAATAGGAAACAAACGGGGGCTAAATATCTTATTTTTATAACTTCTCTATTTACTTATGTCTTAATGATAATTAAAATATTAAAAAAGAGTCGGAAAGATTAGAGATCACGTTCCTTATTCCGGTCCTAACTCGTGAGAATTTTGATGTCCTAAAATAAGTATAATTTTTTTTCTTTACTTATTGAACTTAGGGTACGTTTGATTACAAATGTGGAATTGAATTGAATTGAAAACGAATTTCAAAAAAATTGAATTACCTATAAATTGTTTTCTTGAAAATTGTAAATTATTGTATTTGATTGGTATAATTTTTCAAGTGGAAAATGTTGAAATAAACGTGTTTTTGTGTTCGTTTGGTTTTGTTTTACATGAAAATTATCAATTAAAGGGATGAATTTTAGTGGTATTGGGGATGAAATTTGTTTCCATTGCCAACCAAAAAAAAACTCAAGAAAATTATCTATTTTTTGTGTTTGTTTGACTTTGTTTTACAAAGAAATTACCAATTAAAAAAATATTTTTTTTACAATTATTCTTAGAATTTGTTTCCATTGTCAAAAATAAATAAATAAAAATAAACGAAAAACAAAAATTGCTACAGTATTTTGGGAAAATGAATTCTGACCATTCTCGTTTGGTGAGAATTCGTTTTCCTCAAGAAAATTTTTGTCAATCAAACACCAAAAGAATGAGAAAATGAAATTTCATTTTTCATGGAATTGATGTGCAATCAAACACTACCTTACTGAAAAATAAGATAATTATTCTATAAATATATATATTTATCTTATGATATAACGCGGCATGGCTATCAATTGACTAATTTTCATCGATTCAAAGGATGATATGTGAAGAAATATGACGGTGGTAAAATTAAAATTAAAATTAAATTGAAGTTGAATGACATAAATTAAATTAATTAAAAATTAATATTTCAATGAAATTTACCCTCCAATTATTCCAATATGTGAGCAGGGTTTCTAGAAGGGTGATTTGAGGGTATTTCGGTAATTTAGGATTAGTCGCTGGGTTTTGTATACGGGCAACGTGCAGTGATGATTGGCGCAGGGGGATTAGAATTGACAGACACGTTTTATGAGTTGGCGGTGGTGAGAAACTTGGGGGGATGGATTTCTTTAGTCAATGTGGGAAATCAATTAACGGTAGACGCGTGTTTAACTTTAATGATTTGGTGGAGAACCAAATGGTGAAGGTGGCAACTTGGATTGGCTAGTCTGGCTTTTGGGATATTTGGCTTTGGGTTAGAATTTTAATTTATCTTTGAGAAAATCTCTTATCTGGCATCATCCTAGCTGAGATTAGAGTGGATGAATATATATTAAATAATTATGTTATTTGTACATAATAGAATACATAAAATGATGTAGAGGAAAAAAATTAATTATATTTTAAACTGACAAATGATAAAGTAACATGTAATATTATGTAACTCATTATATAAATCTTGATATACATCTAGCAAATTCTTAAGTTACAAAAATAATTCACAGTCAAGTTTCCGTCCGGATGTTTTAAGAATTTGAACAATCCATTAAACTTTTAGTATTTTACAAATTGAGTCGTTCGATTCATGTAATATTTGGAACTGAACCGGTTCATGTTCAGAAGGTTTGATTCCGGTAATAATGCTCATATGGTCTTCTATTTTTAAAAATCACTGCTTCTGAAACAATATCTATTGCGAACTTTATTTTTTCTTAATTTCAAATACAAATATTTAATACCAAATATAGAATAAGTACTGTCTCAATCTAATCAACATTATCCGATTCCTATTGTAGAAACTGATCATGAAAGTCGAAGACATGCGATCAAATGTGACAAACATAGCTGGTTCGAAAAAATTAATCTCTAGTTCAAATCCAAAAGTAGGATAATAGATAGTACTTAATGAATGAATTAAGTCTTATGTGCATGATTAGAATGTACCTCAAATGTTTAGATTCCACCCTCTTTGGCTATGTGATATGTAAATTGCCAAAAGCTCCAACTATTAAGATCTTAAAAATAAATAAAATAGAAAATGAAAATTTACAAGAGCATATGCACAGTTGGAGACAGCGCCGGAGTCAAAAATTAAATTGCAAAAGAAAAAAATCGAACATCTTTTTCTCTTGAACACTCATTTCTGATAAGTTGGCAATGAGAGAGATTGAAAGAAGAAAAAGAAATGGCGGGAAAATTATGTTGTATTCCAATCGAATGAAAATTAAAAATACAACTGGTATTTATATACAATTCAACTAACCAATTCAACAAAAAAGTGAAAGATACAAAAGACTTAAATAGCCTTGCACTGATCTTTCTCAATACACCCCCTCAAGATGGAGTTTGGATATTCAATACTCCCATCTTGCTTAACCACAATTGATATCGTGCTCCTCCTAAAGACTTCGTTAGCAAATCAGCCACTTGATCATGCGATGCCACATACAATATCTTCACCCCTCCTGCTTGTAGCTTATCCCTCATGAGATGGCAATCAATTTTTATGTGTTTCGTTCGTTTATGAAACACGGTGTTACTAGCTATGTGAATTGTAGACTCACTGTCACAAAATAATAACGATGCTTGAGTATGTGTAACACTCAAATCATTGAGAATGTTCTTCAGCCATCTCAATTTGCAAATCACAGTTGTCATGAAACGGCATTTTACTTCAGCAAAGGACCTCAAGAACGTATGCTGCTTCTTAGACTTCCAAGACACAAGTGAATTCCCCATAAATATGCAATAACCTGTGATGGATGTCCTTGTATCTAAGCATGTTGTTCAATCCGCGTCGCAAAACCCCTTGAGATGTAAATCAGATTTTCCTTCAAAAAACAATCCTTGTCCTAGTATGCCCTTTAGATACACGACGAGTTGCTTCTAGTTGTGGCTATTTTGGGGATTGAAGAAATTAGCTAAGAACCTGTACCGCATATGATAAATCAGCCTTGTTATCGTCAAGTATAAAAGTCTCCCCACTAGTCTTCAGTACATACTGGCGTCTTCAAGTGCATCCCCTTCATTCATACTCAGCTTTAGCACTTAATGAAGAGTTAATTGTTCGAATGGTCAGTGAACTTAGGTCCATGTCTTTGTTTGACCACTGAACTTTAAAATATCGAGTTTTGGTCAATGCACTTAGATCCATATCTTCGATTGCTCACTGAAATTTAAAATGTCAAGTTTTGGCCACTGAACTTTGAAAAATATTGTACATTACTCACTAAAATTTGAAAAATATTTTACATTATTAACTATAAACTCGATATTTTTCAAAATTCAACAGTTGTATTAGTGAGTAACGTACGACATATTCCAATGTTTAGTGTCCAAAATTTGACATTTTAAATTTCAGTGAGTAATCTAAAATATAGACCTAAATTCATTGATGAAAACTCAACAGTTTTCAAAGTTCAGTGGTCAAAACCTAACATTTTAAAGTTCAATGGTCAATCAAAGACATGGACCCAAATTTAGTGACCAAAACTCAACATTTTATAGTTCGGTGGCCAATCAAAGACATGAATCTAAGTTCAGTGGCCATTGAAATAATTAACTCCTTAATGAATGAATTAAGCCCTTGTTTGAGCCCCATTTTTTTTTTTTTTT